TTGCTATTATTATTATTATTATTATTATTATTATTATTATTATTATTGAGAGGGGGTATGCTTGTGCCATAGGACATCCAGGGAAGTCAGAAGAGAACCTTCTGGAATTAGTTCCTTCTGTTCACTGTGGGTTCTTGGGAATCTGACTCAGGTTTCAGGCTTACATTGCAAGAACTTTTGCTGAACAGCCTTATGGGTTGAAATATATTTTCTCTTCCTTATTTCTTAATAGTTCTGGAGATCGAACCTAGGGCATTGCACATGCTAGTTAAGTGCTCTTCTTCTGAGGCACACCCCAGCCCTTCCCTGAACTCTTCATCCACCACCTCCACCACCATTTTATTCTCGGTTCTTAACATAACCTTTTTTTGGATCTTCCCTACATTAGTCAGATACTGGACTCTTTTTGAACATGGCTTCTTTTCTTCCCTTTCCTTTTCTTTTGTTAAGGACAGGCACTCACAATGTCACACTGCCTATCCTTAAATTCAGACATCCTCCTGCCTCTACTGCTCAAACGCTGGGAATAAAGGTTTGTACCACTATATCCAGCACTATTACTTGTGTTTCATTTAGCGCAAGGTTCATCAATTTTAGAAGAGCTGGGAAGATGTTTTGTTTTTGCTTTTTCCACTTCTTTTCTCTTCTCCAGTACTGAGGATTGAATCTAGGGTATTGAATATGCAAGGCAAGCATTCTGCCACTAGGCTACAACCTTAGCTCCTTCTTTTCTTTTCTTTTCTTTACTTTTCTTTTTTGAAGATAAGTTTGTATTTATTTACAGAAAACTTAGCGGTGAGTGTACATTTAACCCAGTTTAGTAGCGAGTTCTTTAGCTTTTGCCTTTTCCAGCTTGGCAATTCGAGCCACAGATTTAGGACCCAGGACATTGCCTCCTCAGTGGTGTCAGATCTCATCATATCTGTCGTCGTAATTGGTCCTAATAGCTTCCACCAGCTTAGCCAAAGCACCCTTGTCTTCCGAGTTAACCTGTGTAAAGGCAATGGTGGCACATGTTTTCCTGTGGACAAGTCGTCCCAGCCTGGCTTTTCCCTTGATGATGCAGTAGGGGACCCCCATCTTCCGACACAGGGCAGGCAGGAAGACCACCAGCTCAATGGGGTCTACATCGTGGGCGATTACCACCAGCTGAGCCTTCTTGTTCTCCACCAAGGTGGTGACTGTGTTGACTCCTGCTCGAAGAACAGGTGGCCTCTTAGTTGGGACATCCCCTTTGCCAGCAGCCTTCTTCTCAGCACGGGCCAACAGTCTTTGCTTCTTCTCCTGCTTTGTCTGTGGCCTGTACTTGTGGGCAAGCTTGAGCAGCTGGGTAGCTGTTTGCCTGTCCAGGGCCTGGGTGAACTGGTTAATGGCAGGAGGAACTTTAAGCCACTTATAGAGGATGGCCCTTTGCCACTGCAACCGAATGTATCAGGGCCATTTGACGAGCGTGTGAGGTCTCGATTGGGCTGGATGTCCTGCCCAATGCCGAAGTTCTTAGGTCTCTTCTCAAACAAAGGGTTCACCACTTTCTTGGCCTCCTGTTTCTTCACGACGGCGGGAGCGGGGGGCCACACCTTCCCCCCCCCCGTTCTTCTCCTC